TGTGTGTGTGTGTGTGTGTGTGTGTGTGTGTGTGTGTGTGTGTGTACTTAGTGCATGTGCCTGCAAAAACCAAGAAAAGGCACTTTATCCCTCCAGAGCCAGAGATAAGTAAGGGTGAGACCCTCAACATAGGTGCTTGGAATTGAACTCATGTCCTTGGTAAGAGCAGTATGTGACCTTAACCACTGAGCCATATCTCCAGTCTTCAAGTGGATATTGTTAAGAGAGCAAGGCTATTGGTTTTGTAAACTTTGCATAGCTTAGTTGTGATATATAGAAAATAGGAACTTACTGATGTTAATAAAAGTAAAAATTGCACTGATGAGCACGTGAGTGGGAACTTTCTGGTGAACTGACAGCATGTGCTTTCACATTGTGTGCAAGAGTGCTTGTAGGTGCAAACACACTGTGTATTCATTCCTGGATCAGCGTGTATACAGAGCTTTTCTGGCACTATTCTAAGCACCGAAGACAGACAATAATAAACATAAACAAATAGATGCCCTTGAACTCATAAAAAACAGTTGACCCACAATTTAAAGGTTTCTTTTATTCTCCTGAGACTTCCTTCACGTTGTTTAAATATCTGTAAATGGTGGTGTAGATTTAATATTTCCTGAATTTCATCATCACTCATTAACTCTTTCCTATTGTGGGATATGTAACTACTTTCAAACTTTATTAGAATAAAGACACTAAAAGGTGTTGCACATTTATAATTAATGCCATTTCTTGTTCAATCCCTAAAGACATGATTTAGGAAAGTGTATTAATGCTTGGCTCTTCTTGTGTGTTTTCCCACTGGCTCTTGCAGGACCATAATTATTTATACAGTAAGTGTAAGCATGGATTTCATGTACTTGATATCCTTACAATTAATATTGAGACAAAACTGGAAAATGAAATAACTGATTAGCTAAAATGTTTCACTATTGAAGTTTCAGTTTATGTTTTTATTATAACCGAGAGCAGAATTTGTGTTTATTGTACATTTCATTTATTTTTCTGATTTATTCATATACTTTCTTTATTAGTATATGACACTTTTTTCTTGTTCACATTATTTTAAGCACTCTTTATATGGGTAACAATAATAATCTTTCGACAAGAAAACTTATACTGTATAAAAACGGGAAAATATACAAAGCAATCATGATACTAATGCTTGTTGATACACTTATGTAAACACAAGTTGGAGAATTTCTGACCTGATTGTGTTACATCTTGGCTTCAAATGGTTCAGGCAGCACAAGCTGAAGAAGGACAACACTGAAATACACCAGGGAAAAAAGTCCACTTTTATTTTAAGGTTTTTATATTAAGAAAAGACATGTGTTAAATGTGGGAGGAAACACTTTTACTATTCTTTAAATGTGAAAAGGCCCACTCATATTTGGATGTACATTTTAAGAGGGATAGGAACATAAAAGGCTTTTCTAGAGGAAAGTGAGAATCGGAATAGAGTTTAAAATTAGACCATCTTGGGGAAAGAAGTAGGGCTATTTACCTTGGGAAAAAATGCAGCGTTTTCTCTATTTACCAATTAATATCCCAGAATTGATTTTGAGTAACTTTGTGATGCTCTCAAGCTTTCAGTGAGTGTCAACTCTGTGAACAGTGGAATTCCAACAAGTGATTATTGAGTGTTTTAAATGATGAAGGAATCAGTGAAGGAAAGCACCACCAAATGAGCTGAGATCAAAACCACAGTATCTGCTTACCGCTTACCGTGACCTTTCTAATAACAAGGGTTTCCAAACAAAGGAGTGACTGCCACAAGAGATAATGAGCAAGAAGTACCCAACAGAATCTCTTAATGAGAAGTGGAAACGAAACTTGGGAGACAGTGACAAGTTAGCATTCTCCAATCTCTTCAGTAAGGACATTCTTATCTTCATAATCCTTGGTTTCTCTGGGAGAAAAAGAACTACTCTGTGTCAGTTACTAATAAAAAAAAAAGGAATGGGCAGGACAAAATGAGGATCTGAGAAGTACTCAAAGTTTTGTGATTTCAGCCTGAGACAGTGGGGAGGTTCAGGAAGATGTTGTTATGTACATAGAATATTTGAAGATATATTTCAAACGGGAAACCTGAATGTCAGAAACTCAGATTTAAAATATCTCTTGGATTAATTTAAATCATTTTATATCATTCTTTGCATTTTAGAATGGAATTATGTATTTGAATGTGATACTTCGCCAAAATACTGAATGAAGAGAACATGCTGATGAAGTACATCTCGTTCACATTCAGCTTTGTGGACGTCCTACGGGCAACAGAAATTAAATAACTATAAGATAATGTTTCATTATCATTAACATTTATCAGAGCTGGCTTGACAGAATGAGTTGTTCTAGAGAATGGGTATAATTGAGATAAGAATCTTTCCCTGAACTTTTATACCTAAGACATTAACTGCAACCATGTCTCTAGCCAAATTAATCAAGCAGATATATAAACTATTTAAGACGTTTGAGTGGGAGAGCCAGAGCCGCTCTTTCTAGGCTAAGTCTGCCAAAAACCATTGGAGGCGTCTCTATTTCTAATATTAGATACTACAATTGGACCTCCGCCTCCTGCCTCCAGATAACTATTCAGTGGGGCCGACTCTCAGCTTATGTGAAGATATAGGAGAACAGAATTTGTGACATCCTGGGCGTTTGCCAGATTTCAGTGGGTGGTGGGACCAAGGCTGAAGGCCAAGCGACAAACCCACTAGAAACACGCGCAAAACATACCCTCACGCATTTGTTGACTAAAAAGATACTTTTTTTTTTTGATGGTGGGGGTAGTGAGGAAATAATCTAGTTACAGTGTCTCTCCAAGAAAAATAATTCCAAGTTGAGGCTGGTATACTGTGAGGGGGGAAAAAAACTAAACTAAAAAAGCTTAGCTGTAGTTCATTAACTTTAATTGGTTTTTGTTGCCTCTCCTCAGGTTTCCTGGATCTTTCCGCCATCTCCTCCCCCAACTCTCCGCTTCCCCTTCTTCCACCCCTCGCCTCCTCCCCCTCCAATCTGGCTACCCTCCTTCCTGGCAACATTTTCAGCTTTAATTTGATAGTAAAAAACTGAATCCAAAGTTACAGAATTCTTCAAATTCAACTTCTTTGAAGAAAAAGAAGTTTTAGAAAAAGAATAGCAACCCCAGCTGAGATCCAGAACTACATCAAAGGCACATGTCCCAACGCGTGCCAACTGTCCTCGAGGACAAAAGGACTGCTCTCCTCAGGAAATCACTCACCCCTTTAGAAGTCATTGGTGGGACACTTCCTCAGTACCGGCACATATCTGTGCCCCAGAAATAAGCAGAGACCCAAACAAGGTCTCCATTATCACGGATTTTAGATGACTAAAAAACAAAACATATAAAAACAAGCAAACAAGCCAATATATTTTTTTTAAATGTAGATGTAATGAAAAAGCAAAGGCCTACAAGATTAACGACAGTGTGCTACTTAGAGTCGAAAGTCTTCTGTAGGATCTGCACTTTGAATACACCTCAGAAGAACTCAAGGATTTAAACACGGCACACTTTCTTCAGGAAGGATCTTCAGACAGGGGCAACGTGAACTGCGTCAAGAAGGCCAACATATATAGAGTACAGTGAATAAGACAGGCATGAGAAGGAGGCCAACAAAAATGAAAAACAATGAAACAAAACAGTTAATTGAATACCTTTGTACTCATCCCTACTGCTACAGACTTACCTGTATGTATGGGTTTTCTGCAATAGTCAGCAAATCTGTCAGGTACTAGGCACTTGCTATATTGAAATTTTATGAACAATTAATTATAAAATCTAATGCTTTTTTAAAACTTTGCTCCAGAGTACCTACTCTCTATCATTTCAAAATTGTTTTACAATCTGGATTCAATCAAGAGGTACTAAATTTGGGTATAAGATATAAAGGAAGATAGGAAGCCTATCTTAGTCAAAATAGTTCATTCCTGTGTACCAATAATGATCCTACCAAAATTAAATTTAGTTACATGAATGTGCAATTCTTTCACATTTTATTTCTATTGTATTCTTCATGGTTGGAGTTAAGTTGATGCATACATGGTCCATGATATCTTGATATCTTAAGTACACACACACACACACACACACACACACACACACTTCTATTTTAATATACATACATATGAACATATGCACACATGTACTAAAATAGAAGTTCATGTGTGTTGCTCTAAGTGTGTATGTTGTGTATCGCATATTTTAAGACCATGAAAAATATGGCCAAATGAATTTAATCATCTACATTGTGCTTTTATATTTAAAATGCTGCTTCAGAGAATGTAAAGCTATTTTAGATCCACTTCTAACTCATCAGATATAGAGGTTTACTCCCAACCAAAGAAGAAAATAGAAAAGAATATTCAAATTTTGGTTCGTTGGAGTATTTCCATTTTAATTCCAAAGCATACACAAGTGCTAATTTCATCACTAATGTGGTCAAATCTGATGTACCCAGGCAAATGTACCTGAAACTCACATTTAATCCCAGAATCTCTAAAGGGAGTGGATGTCTAATTTGGAAGAGAAAAAAGTTGGGGGGAAAACAAAGCATGGCAATAAGGATTGGGTGAAGTATAAAGTCCTGAAACCAAGAGAACTCAATTCTAGTTCTCGTATATGACACACTGACTAATGGAAAGCTGTTTTACCTTCCGGACCTCTACACCCTCATATTGACCATAAGACTATATTGAATTCACAGTTTTAAAGACAATGTAGTGTTTCAATTCAGCTATTAAACTGTTAAATAGATGCAAAGACTTCCAATAGACAGTTGAATAATAAATCTATATCCATAGTTCTCCTTCAGTGGCACCATATTGATGGGAATGTTGATTATTTTCTTCATGCAAAATAGAATTTATATTAATAAGTTGGAGAGGAAGAACAAATGGGAAGAAAATAATGGGACCACACAATCATAGCTGAACCACACAATCATCACAAACTGAACCACACAATCATCACAAACTGACACCAGAAGCTCCAGTAGACCCTCCCCACTTAGTTATTTACACCAGACACTCTCATCCAATGAGAAGAAAGCTAATGTGATCATTTCAATGTAACAGGAGACTGGTCTCCTACAAAATGGCTGGTTCTCTGGCTGAGAGAGTTCTGGAAAGGTCCTTTGTTACTCACAGAATGATTGCCTTTCCAAAACCAGACACTGAAGAACCCATCCCCAATGTGATGGTATTTGGAGATGATACTTTTGGAAGATGATTAAGCTTGGATGAGTCCATGAGGCCAGAGCCCACATAGTTAGTTTAGTGTTCTTATAAAAGGAAGAACAGAGTGCCATCTCTTTGCTATTTTAGGATAAACCAAAAAGATAGCTTTTTTCTGCAACCCAGGATGATAGCCCTAACCAAGAACCAAATCTGCCAACTCCTAGATCTTAGATAGTATGCAGAACTGTGTGAAATAAATAGTCATTGTTACCCTATTTGTGGCATTCTGTCTCATTATTCCAAATTAACCCATTTTCATATTATTCAATGAGTCACTAGATCTCAGGTCATCCACTGAATGAATGAATGAATGAATGAATGAATGAATGAATGAATGAATGAATGAATCCAGAACCACTTCACAAACTTATGTCAGAGAAAGTTTAAAAAAATAAAAGAAAGAAAAAAAGCATGGCAAGATCTATCCATATTTTCAAAGGTGCAGTACTGGCCTTTGAGTTTTGTCTGTAATTAACAGCCTTCTAATTGGACTAAGGCCTACTCAAGAAGAGAGAGAGTTCATGTGTAATACTGTAAACCCAGACAAATAGCTCTGCTGGGTAGGCCAGGGAACCGAGAGAAGAACCTACTACTGCTCCTTTCCTAAACCACCATGATTCTAACAATATTCTAAATATTTATCTTGATACTTGTAGACGAGTATATGTTGTTCGAATCTTAGATGGTCTTTTAATAAAAAACCTGGAGCCAGATACTGGGGTGAAAGCTAAAAGATCAGAGAAGCATAGCAAGCCACAACCACAACCTCTTACCTCACCAACTCCACGAATCCTCTGACTAAAATCCTCTGAGTTCATATCAAAGGATCTCAGCTGAACTGCCTTAGTTCCTGTCTCCTCACACCTTATATAATTTTCTCCACCCTGCCACCACTTCCTGGGATTAAAGGCCTGTGTGCTTCCCAGTACTGGGATTAAAGCTGTGTGCCACCACTGCCTGCCTCTGTTCCCAGTGTGGCCTTGAACTCACAAAGATCCAGATGGATCTCTGCCTCCCGAGTGATAGGATTAAGTGTGTGTGCCACCACTGTCTGGCCTCTATGTCTAATCTAGTGCCTGGCTCTGTCCTCTGATCCTCTGCCAAGCTTTATTGTGGTACACAATATATCACTGTAAGTATAACTCACCCATTCATCATAGAAGCTGTTATTTGCAAAAGACTGAGACCGTCACAGAACACCACAGTAGATCAAGCTGCAGAGAACAACTGACTGTGAGGTGTCCAGCCGCAGCTGATAAATCTACGACACAACCCCTACACATAGGCCTCCAGGAACATGTGAAAGACAGCGGGAAGACGACAGTAACAGATGACAGATGGCTAGGAGGTCTGCAGGGTGACTGTGTCTTCTACTCAGGCTAAGGAAGCTGCACCTATGAAATTTCAACAATATGGCGACCTAAATGAGACTTTTCCCATGACATGTGAATGAGAATGAGGGAAATCTCACACTGTCCCACCCCTACCTAGATGAAGAACAATAGCCAATTCCAGCTTCTGAAAGAGGGAAAATCAGTCTTCTGCAATAAGTCTCTTAATTGTTTATTTAATACCAAACGGTGAGCCTTAAAAACACATTTATTCCATCAACACTAAATTGACTCAGCAGGTTGTATGTGTATGCTTATATGTAGTTATAGATGCAGCAATAATAATTATAAAAAATGAACAATAGAGCTAACACGTAAAGGTGGAAGGAGGGTTTAGGTTAGAAGGGAACAGTGGGAGGGCGTGCATGATGTTATAATAGGAGATTGAAGGTGATCAAAATATATATGGGTATGAAATGTGATAACAAACCCATTATTTTATACAAAATTAATAGATGTTTATGAAAATGAAATAAAAACAGGAAAAGCAACTAGAATCAAAGAACTAGAGATGGAAAGGACCAGAGCAACACAGTGTCTTCTGGACAGGACAGTAGCCCTGCACTCATGAACTCATAGCAGCTGTGTTTGTCTGCACAAGGCCTGCACCAGATCAAACCGATCAGTGTTCTAGCATGGAGCAGGGATACTCACAGTTGGTGGCTTCTAGAGGAGAAAGAGTTTTCTTTATATAAATTGGTCTGGTGGGTTGATCAGGCTTCCAGGGATGAGCCAAACCACATCTAGGAGTAGAGGAGTAGCAGAAATTGAACTCGGTGTGCTATTTAAGAGGCGGGGATTTGGAGGGGCTAGGGAGGTGGGTAGTTCACTTAGGAGTTAGGAAGAGCAGTTGAGGTGAATATGATTAAATTACAGTATGTGAAAGCCTTAAAGAAATGATAAAGATATTGTCTTTATAAAGGAGGTTGACAACTGAACCTTTCTCTTTCCAAAAGACTGTTGTCTCATTACCCTTCAAATGGCATATGGCTTCAGAATTAATGTTCAGTCAGTAGCCCTGAAAGAATTTGACATAGGTCAAATTACTGAAATTTTGAGTAACTGATCAAATGTCCTAAAAACCCTCAAACTGTGCTTTGAATGATTATGTGTACTCTGAAATTATTTCTTTCCTTCTTTATCTACTCAACCCGCAAATAGCACCTGAAATTCATATTTATCCAAGTTTTGTTCTTCTGTACATTTGCTTGTTATTTGCCTGTTGATAGCTTCCGATTGAAAGGAATTACATCCTTGGAGTGGAAGATCTGATGGCTTCCAGAACGGAGGATGTGATTAGAATGATGAAGGTGAGCAAAGAAACTGACTCAAAGACTGAGTGAACACAGTCAGAACATCTGACGTCTGAAGCTAGAAACCACTCACGCTCAGGCCCAAGCTGAGGTGTGTCGGGAACACTGGAGACATCATTCCTGCCGTTCTCAAAGTTAAGTATTTATACACGTGTATGGATGGATGGATTTATTTCCTCTACAGCTCTTCAGAGAGCTTGGCCTAGTACATGAGAAGTAGAATTCATACAAATTGTTATTTCCTGGAAGGCTGGTACATTTCTGTCAATATGCCCTTAATACTTGTCCCCACAGAAACACAAACATCAGAACCAGAGTGCGGACACTATTCAAAGCAAATTCATATCAGTAATTTGATGGCAGCTAAGACAAGTCCGAAGAACTGGGTGGGCCTTTAACCTGGGGCTAATTTTTGGCTCTTTCTGTAACAAATCTTTAGGTTTTAAGGGAATGTTACTGACGGTTTCTAGGTCATAATTATCTACTTTCTGAAAAATGGTTAATGATACTACACTGAACTGTGTCGCCCGGGGAGTATGACGCCGATAAGAAGGCAGGTGGAGGAGTCTATCAGGTGCAGATGTTTTCTGTTAACCTCTTTCACTTTCTCCTTTCACACACAGAGGTGGCTGGACAGCCATGCAAAGGCACCACAGCGTGTATGGAGGATGCACGCATTATTGCTAGCTACAAAGACTGCAGCATCCGTGGGAAAGGCCGTGTTCTGGAGCTCACTGGCTGCATCTTTCACATTTACATCTGCAGAGCAAATTCTGATCCTTTGTTACCTGAAGAGCAACAATTCATCCCAAGGCTTTTTCAAGGCGTCTTTCTTTTTCTTTAACCAACTTGACTAATCTTTCAAATGTGTTATACACACTCCTCCTTTTACAGTTAGTATTATTATAAGTATAATTCTTTCATAATTATTCATTTTACATTTTGAGATATGATATAATTATATCATTTTCCGTTCCTTTCCTCTCTCCAAACGCTCCCATATATCTGCCCTTGCTCTCTTTCAAAATCAGGGCCACTTTTTTTATTAGTTTTTGTTATATACACACATGTATATACATATATATTCCTAAATACAGAAACAAACTTGTTCATTCGATATAATAGTACTTGCATTATGTTTTCAAGTCTGAACGTTAGCCAATTAATGAATATAATTATGTACATCCATGAATATATATTTAAGGAATTGCTCTGTGTCAAAGTGAGATACAACTTTTTTCACAAGTACTTAATATTAGCATGCTTTTAATTGAAAATAAGGCCCCCAAATTCTCTCTGGACAATACTCTAAAATACAGTAAAATCTAGTGAGAGTGTTAGCCACATACCTTGGCTGGCGTAAAGGGGTTCCCTTGCAGAGACAAAGGCTCTCCAAAACTTCCCACATGGTTTTTACATTGTGCCCATCTTGTCTTGCAAGTCCTTCCTGGAGGACACTGAGGCTCAGAGACAGAGGGACTGGATGGAGTCAGACTATAGGAAGATACACAGGAAGGGGCTAGAAATCCATCACTCCTCCAGATGAGATATTGAACTTTTGATTAACGATCAAAATAAAAAATTCAAAAGGTTCCACAACCTTCCCAGAGCTCACAGCCCAGGGATTTCTAAGGAGGGCCCTTCTCCCTCAGACACCACAAGAGGCCAGTGTGCCCGTGAATGGGAGAATGCGGCTTTAGCAGGACTGGAGGGGGGTTCAGTGAAGAGATGGCATTTGAGCTAGGTCCTACTGCGTGAGTGGGAGTTTGCTCTGCACGGAAGGGAAGGAAGGGCACTCCAGGAAAAGAAACAGCATCTGGGACAAGACAGAGTTTCAAAGAGTGGCATATTCAGAATGCAGTGAGACATGCCTTGTGGCTGAAGCGTAGGGGGCACGTGGGAGAGGAGAAGACAGGAAGATAGCAAGTTTCAGAGGAAAAGGCTGGAGAGGCTTTGTGGATGTTAAGCACCTCCCCAGCAGGCTTTGGGGATGATGGACTAGGGCATTGGCTAGCATCACCTGGTGCTTTCTGAGATGTCCCCTGGAAGTTCAGACAGACTAGAAAGTAAAACCAACTGATATCCAGTTTCCAGAAAAGTAATCAAGTAGAGGGTCTTGATTGCCATGCACGGAGAGGTCACACTTGAACACTCTCTAACCTGCGGGACTCTCTGATGATGATTTAGAAGGAAGAATACATGTAGAACTGTGGAGTTGCCCCTAAAACCAGCAGCAGCAGCCAGGATGGGGGTTGGAAATGAAGAGACACTAAAGAGGGAGCGTGAGCGGCTGAGTTAAAAAGAGAGAATAAGTGCAAAGCCACATCTCCGTAAAGCTCTAGCAGGGCTTGACTTCGGTGCTGTTTAGCGGAGGTGAGAGAATGAGGAGAAAAATGGATTTCTGGAGTTGATAAGATGCACTTCATTTGCAAACTACATTCCCACATGGAAGCATCATAACTATACAGACTTTTTGGGCCCTCCCTGTTTTTCTGGTGTTATGTGTATGTGCTATGATGCAATTGTTAGTGTGGGTGTGTGCGTCTGTGCTTGAAGGTGGGCATTTGTGTGGAGGCTGGAGGTAAGGACCAGGTATCCTTGAAGATTTAGCTTTGTGTTTATGTGTATGTGTGCATGTGTTCCTGGAGGCCAAAAGAGGGTGTAAGATCCTTTAGAATTGGAGTTAGGAGCTGCCTGGTGAGTGCTAGTAATCAAACTCAGGACCTGAGCAAGAGCAGCAGGCACTCTCAATAGCTAAGACATCTCTCAAGACATCCCTTAAAACAATTTGACATCAGGTGTCTTTACTCAATGACACATCACCTATGTATTTTGAGACAGTTTCTTTAACTGAACCCGAAGTTCATCTGTTCAGTCGGGCTGGCCGGCCAGTGAGTTTTAGGGATCCACCTGTTCTGTGCCGCCCCGCCCCTCCCTCCGGTACAAGGGGTTGCAGGTGCACACAGCTGTGGCTGGCATTATATGTGGGCTCTGGAAATCTGATCTCTCGCCCTCATGCTTCTGGCGGCAGGCATTTGATTGACCCATCCATCTCCTTGGCCCTTCTCTGCTTTTCAAATCTTCCTTTTCCCAATCTGTTAAGAAAGCATCAATGTCATTGCCCTGTGCAGTCAGAGACTGACATGGTCTGCAACAGAACTGAGATTAAACACAAAGCACAAGGTGGAGGCGGAGACTCTCCGGATTTCAGATATGCAGTCAGTGAGATGTCTCTGCTACGATTTCTTTACTAATCACTTATTAAAGCTTCTATCACAGTGTATTGAAATTTCCTGTTTCTACCTCCAGAAATAACAGGACTTTACTCTAAATAGTCTTGATATGATTTAAGGAAATAGACATGGTTGGTTTTGTTTTGTTTTTTAATTATCCTTTAATTAGCAGTATTTCCCTTGAAATGATTGTATTTTATTTTTTGATGTGCTATTTATACTAACTATTCACATTTGGAATGTCCAGGGTCAACTCAGCCATTTTTGTTTCTTCCTCTGAATTCTCCCAAAACCTGTGGACAGCTCCAGGAGTATTCCAGCCAGCTCAAACACTAAGACAATTACTGAGAAGACATCCTAGACATAGGCTACTGTGTCTAGCCAAGGACTGAGAGAGACAGGGCAGATAGCAGCGATGTCCTGCAGAGTCCCAGTGAGCAATGAGAGAGAGGACATTGGCCTCATGTGCCTGGACATGCTGCTCCACCTGTCAAGAAGTATCAGTCAGTGAGTACTAGATATAAAAGATCAACAAAAAACAAATATAATGACAGCAATATTAGCCAGGAAAGGGAGACAGCAGTGAGTAGGTACATTATCATTGATTGCTTTCAGTTTAATAGAAACATTTTTGTTTCAGCAACTTGTTATGTAGATATTTATGATTGTAATTGCCATCTAAAAAATAATGAAAGCCTCTCTCCCTCCCTCTCTCTGTCTCTCTGTCTTTGTCTCTCTGTCTCTGTCTCTGTCTCTGTCTCTCTCTCTCTCTCTCTCTCTCTCTCACACACACACACACACACACACATTTTTTCAAGAATATAATCAAGTCATTTTAAGGAAATTGTTTTAAAGCATGATTTCTTTCTTCCAATTATATAAACATAGCAAGGATTTTCTCATGACTTTTTAAAATTATTTTTATTATTCCATTTTTAGATCCCTAATTAAATCAGGGGGCTTTTTACAAAAGTGGGTTTCTGAAAAACCTCCATTATTTGCTCTTCCTAAATGTTTTCCATTGCAAGGATTAGAGGTGATAAGTCACAGTCGGTTTATCTCCTACGGTTTCTTCTAGCACATTGTCAACTCCCCTCTCACCCTCATATGCACACCCCCTGCAAAGTCACTGCATATGGGACAGTGTAAAGGCTGGGAGATAAGTGACACCATTAACACAGTGTGGTGGCTTTGATGTGGAGCTCTCGGCAGGGTTGCCAGGAGAGTGACAGACTCCCGCTCTAATGCAGAGACTATTTCCTATCTACTGGCTTCCCTTCTAATGGTCTCTTATTACTATTAGCGGCACAAAGCAGGCAGGCGCCATGGCTGCAAAACCCACTTTCTTGGGATTAGCTTCTTATTCTGTGCTCCTATTTTCTGTATGCACCAAGTTCTTATAAATACAAATTATTAAACTACTTAAAAGCGAATAGGTATCAAAATGAAGCCAATGATTTTTTCTGGATTCAGATGAAATTTGTATTATATCCGACACCACCAAGCCCTTACCCATTTGCTGAGGCATGCGAATCTAAACACTCAGCTTGTTTTGTTTTTATTTTTGTCAAAATATCTGTGGTCAACGCTATCCTAGTCTCTGCACACTGGTGTTCCAAAAATTCAGTTTTGCCAGTTTCTAGTCCTTGAATAAAATATTAAAGATTAATGTAAAATCTTATATCTAAAAATTAAATTGTGCGGTGGCTGAAGAGGAAGAGGTAAGCATCCAAAGCACTGAGGATGATAAAGTGGGTTATACTATGAAAACAAAGGACAAGTTAACCAATGAACAGTTAACCAGTAGGTTTAAAACAGAAGCCAAACTACCCACAAGAGTGAGAACACTTTATGTGCAAGACTCTGTTAAAGGGGACTTAAAAGAACAGAAAGTACCCTTCGTTCCCCTAATTAACTTTGAAGAGTCTAATTAAGGGCAACACAAAAGCCTGAGAAATGCTGGTTATTAGGCATGTACTTTAAGTTGATCAGTGAGATGGTATTCTTGTAAACAAAGATGCTAATTTCACCCAGCCCGAAATAAACTTCTCTGCAAATATCTCACAACATAATCATGCAGTACCTTGGGAGCAGAGTCCTATCTAGTGCAGGCTGCCTCTTGAGGTTACTAATTCTAGGCATTAATGGCACTCGATTTGAAGATGTAATAGAGGAGAGAGAACATTCTGATAATGTGTGCATACACCACTCCTCGGTCTCCTTTCTCTTGTCTTTAACTTGACCTCAGCATCCCAAAGAACTGACCATTTCAATCCTATGTATGCAGAGTTTCATCTCTAAAATGGAGGCGAGTAGGACAAAGTTTAAGAACATTTGTACCTTATGAAAATGCTGCCTCCACGTGATTGTAGAGTCCCGGGCTTTGCTGTGGCTTCAATAATATCACTTGGGGTTTTAGATTCTAGCTTTACCACTCAAATTTAGAAGGAAGAAATAGCATTTCTTTGTAAAAAGCATTCTGACAGTAGTGTAAAGACAGGAACAATACTAGAAGGGGTGATAAAATTATGATTTTTATCTCGTTTCCCTTGAGTTACTCTAAATGGAGTGAATATTCATCCCAGAGTCAAAAGCTCTGACTTCTGGGAGCTAGCTGCACATTTGGATTCAGTGAACAGCAGTGTTTCATTAGGAAATGCAGATCAGATTATCTTCTGAGATGCTTCACCAGGATGCTGCAAAGAGATCACTTTGAAGAGCCTTGTATTTCTTGTGAATAGGGACTTCGGATTTTTATTCTCCCAACACTAGTATTTAGCACCAGTGTGTGTGAATACAGACAATTGTGGTGTGATGTTGTGGTCACCCCAACAGGTATTCCTAATGTTATTTCATTGTTAATCATCCAAGGGCTAAAGTTGCTGGCCTATGCAGCCTTATGGTAGACATGCTGGAAAAACCAACCCTCTAGCTGGGGTGAAAGTATGGCTTCTGTCTTACCCTGAGACTTTGATTCCAACATCTACATTTAAAAAGGCAGTCCTCAGATGAGTGTTGGTGGCACATTCCTTTAATCCCAGCACTTGGAAGGCAGAGCCAGGTGGCTCTCTGTGAGCTCCAGGCCAGCCTGGTCTACAAAGCGAGATCCAGGACAGGCAAGAATGCTACACAGAGAAACCCTGTCTCGGAAAAAAAAAAAAAAAAAAGGACAGTCTTCAGTAAAGATAGCATCTAGCAGCCTTGAGGCAGAGGACTGGAGATTGCAGATTTTTTGAAAATATATTTTGACATACAGATATCTCTAAGAGTTGTACCCTGGTGGACTCTCCAGAGCTGACTATCTAAGCTTCCCCTAAAACAAAGCCTGGAGAGAGGGCTTTACCCAGGCTCAGAGATCAGAAACTTCTGCATCTGGAGAAACAGCTCAGTGTAGAAGTTACAGGTCACAAAAATGACAGAGAAAAATCACAATGAAAGAGCTGTGCTG